GATTGGGTTCTTGTGTCCCTAGACTGACCTGTCTTCCATAAGTTTTCTTCCCTGACGCATTGTAGCAGTCCTGTAACCCTGCGCCGGCCGGGCTTCAATCCTGCCATTGCTTTTCATCCATGTAATGCTGTATAAGCCACAGAGCAGACTTGACACAAGAGCTTGTGCATATAGGAGGAATGATCAATGCTGAGACTGGGGGGGACGGTATGTGGCACTTTAGTTGAGGTGAGCAGTTGTTTGTTTTTCCCCTAAGAGAAAAAGCAATCTCCTTACGATTACTTTTTAACATTCCCTTTATTTCGGCAGGATATATTCCCCCTTCTAGTGGGGGGGAGTTTTAATGCCCTTTGGTCTGCGCTCAGATGAGCGTCATGCTCACCATTTAAGCACTTATTTTTTTTTATTTTTTTTTGGTGGGAGGCCATCCAAGCTTTTGACTTGAGGAAACTAAGTTGAACCAAAGCGTTAAGGGTGGCGGGCTTTACCCCTTTGTGTTTTTTGTTTTTTTATTTTTTTATTTTCACTTCCAAAGCACTTAGAACGGAGGTTTCAGTGCAGCCAGGTAAAGGTGTCCTGTATGCATTAGTATCGCTCCTTTTGTAAAGGGGATCTGCCAGGATGGAAGGATGGCGACTACCATTGTGGACTTAGAAGGTGCATACGGGGGATTTATCCTGATTTATCAGTCACTGACTTGGAGCAAGCACATGCATATCCGGTGTACCAATGTGTATGCTTGTGCGCTATCCAGTGGTGGAAGGACATGGCAGCCGGGAGCTTGCATCTCCAAGAAGTCTGCAATGGCAGCTGCCATCTTTATATCTTGACCAGTTCCCTAACAACTGCTAATGTGGAGCAGTCACGTACACAGGGCTGGCAAGGGCATCGCTAGTGCTTGGGTGATCATGGCTTCCAACCCAGCCAATACAGCGGCCAAGCTGTGCCCTTGTGACTTGTCCACGTCCAAAAGCAGTCTGTGGCTTTCCAGCTGGAGCATGCCTATTAAGCAGTTCTCTAGTCAAATGCCACAACTTTACTCAATTGCATGAGATGGGTCTGCTTTTTTTTTCCGTCTTTTTTTTTGTTTTTGCATCAAGCATTATGTATTGTCAAGTTTTCTCCGTAAATGACAATTTTTAAGTTATAAGTTTCTGAAAAGTTTAAGTTTAAGAAGTGTCTTTATTTTTGTAGAATCCTGGTGCTGACAACCAGTAGCCCATGAGGGACGTGATCTCAATTGTAATCTACAAATAAAAAGACGACCATTTAACAAGTTGTGCTTTATTTCCTCCTTACCGGTCAGAACACACAAATGTCATTTTTGGGAAGTGTGAATGAATGGGTTTCTGAAAAAACTGGCTCGGTGTAATGGAGTTTTAACAAACGTATCGTTCACATGGGTGGGCAAGGGGTAATAAAATGGGTGGTTATCTGCATTTCACTACTCCTGGACACTACTCCTGGACAGTGCTGTACACGTTGTCACAATAAGTCCTCATTCACACTAGAAACGGCCGGCACGTACAGATCCGTGCTGCGTGCACGGCCACATAGGGCTGTTTCCAGGAATGACAGGTGCTATGTGTGATTGGTACGCAGCTCCTGTCCTTGTCTATGGGAATAAGCGCCCTACGCCGCCGATCCATCCCGTCAGCGTACGGGCACCTGCATGGACGTGCAGGGCGGGTCAGCATTGGGGGGCGGGGGGGCCGTACGGCCACGTAGTCTCATAGAGGACAGGAGCTGTGTACTAATCACACAAAGCACCTGTCTTTCCCGGGAGCTGTACGTGCTTGCCGTTTCTATTGCGAATGAGGCCTAGGACCGCATGTCTTTTTACAGGCATTGCCACCACCACTCCATTGATGTGAAAGGGACTGCGCTGCAAACACTTGGCAGGCAGTTGCAGCGTGATAGTTCATGTACACTCCCCCTTGGGATAAAAAGGTAGGCATTCATGAAGGGGGCAATATCAGTCTGGATGCTGCTCTTCTACCACCTAAGGAATCCACTGTGGCTTGCTTTCAGAGCAGTGCTAGTCCGTTGCTTATGTGATTGAAGCCTAATAGCAACAATGCTTTGTGCAGCTAGAGCAACACTTTTTGTGGTGAGGGGTTAAAACCCTTGTCAGGTGACATCACTGGAATTCAAATTGAAGGAGATCCCAATTTCTTGTCAACAGGATGTGAGAATCTTGTATTGAAATGGTCTGTGATGTTACTTTTTTGAATATATATCTTTTACTACGTGATGGTAAATCTTCTGTGGGACACAGATTATATAACACAGCAAACAAATAAAGATGCCGCTTATCCTTTCCTGTGTTTATTAAAAACCAGACATGGGGATCTTCCATTGGGAACTGCTTTGCCCAGTCGCACTTCTTTTACTCTCCCATCCCTGTGGTGTTATTAAAGCAGAGGTAGCCAAACTCCAGCCCTCTAGCTGTGGTGGAACTACAAATCCCATGAGGCATTGCAAGATTCTCAGCCACAGATGTGACTCCTGGAGAGATGCATCATGGGATTTGTAGTTTCACCACTGCTGGGGGGCTGCAGTTTGGCTACCCCTGAATTAAAGTGTATGCAACCTCTGCACTCCCGCTGTGGTGAGAACTACAAATGCTGTCATGCTTGTGGCTCAGTCTTGCAGTGCCTCATGGCATGCCAGCTATTGTGGAACTACCCACATGATTCCAAAGGCTCTCTACCCCTGGCCTAGATGCACTTTAAGTGAAGTCGTTTTTGCTAATCCGAATACCTTTTTAGGTTTATCTGAGTTTATATTCAGCAACTTCAGTATTTCCTTCAGCAATAAAGTCAGAACAGATGCAGTGAGTGTTTGGATAACTGAAGTTTTTAGGCTAGGTTCACACCTGTCTGGAGCAGATCTACAAGTGTAGTGCGTTTTTTGACACTATTGTTAGCTTAAAATTGGGCTTTCAGGTGCAGTCCAGTGCGTTTGTATGCATTTTTGATGAATTTCCATGCATTCCAGACCAGATAATATTTTTTGTGCCTGGACCGGAACAGATTGCACTGGTGGGAACAGAACCCAGAAATACCATAGGGATACATTGGGATGCTTTTTTGGTCAGGGAACAAACTTCTGATCTGGACATGGTGTGAACAAGCCCATATACTTGTCCCTAGTCCAAGGTGTTCCATAAACTGGGTAATTATACATTTTGGAATTAAGCCATGTGCAAAGCATCTGCATAGAAATGTCTCATTACTGGTCACGAGGAGTATTTAATCTGGACCTGCATCCATAACCTTTGGCTCTAGGTAGTGGGGTCGGCCCATTCAGTTCTAATCAGCAGGAGATCCATGCACGGATCCCCTGCTTACGGGAGCAGTTTGGAATGGATGTCGCCATTCTAACATCTCCAGTTTTTCCCTCAATAGAAGAAAAACTGAAATGACCAGACCTATTTTGTCTACGGCGAGCCGGATGTAAACTGACATGCCCGTTTACATCGAGTTACCTCCGATCTGCCATGATCGGGTTCACCAAAACTGATCTCTGTGCTGTTTTAGATCTGGATGCCTATAGATTAACATTGGGCTTCTCGATCTGGACCACCTGGAAAAAAAGAGGGGAACTGCTTCAGAATGCCTGAGTAGAAGGGCTGTAAGGGTTAAAACCTGTACTGCTCTTTAGGGGAGAGACTCTCCCTCATGTTGGTCATTTTCCTATCTCCTCATCACCAGGCAGCAGTACAGAGCAACACTTGTCAAATGTGAGATTTCTGCAGACATTTGGGAGGTGTTTTTTCAATTCATGGCAATGAAACACCTCATCGGTCTCCTGTCATTCCATTCAAACAATTGGGTGAAGTTGCACAATTATGAGATCTAGGTCTGTTGCCAGTTTCCTAAAAGTATGTCTAGCCCAACCTTTAGTTTTGGCTAGTGAGAGAGGATTAGAACTCGTTTGGTAGATACTGGTATTCAGGGATCAGATTTTTTTTTTTTCTGGTTCTATAACATGAGAGGTGAGGGGACAAAAATCTGCAAAAGGGACACAGCAGTAAAGACATGACGGGGGTATAGTCTTGCCTTACTCTTCAAACAACCTCCTCCAATACTGGATTACAACACAAGATGTCCTCAGTCTACTATGTTAAATCATGCCCATTGCCACCCAACTTTAAAGACTGGACCTAGCGTTGGTTCCAGGTGTTATGGGCCGGTGACTATGCCCTGCAGCCATTGTGTAATGGTGCAGACAGCCATGCTGATTATCACACAAGGTTTATATAGTGACAGCAGCTTGTGCAATGCTTCACAGTATAAGGAATACATTAATTTCAAGACAGATGGTTAGGAGGGCCCTGGTTGAGAAAGCTTACAATCTAATCAGTCCGTGTTGGTTTCTGCATCATAAATGGCTGCAGAACCTGGGCGCAAAGGACCTGAGGCATTGTCTAGCTCAGTGATGGCGAACCTTGGCACTCCAGCTGTTTTGGAACTACAAGTCCCATGAGGCATTGCAAGGCTCTGACAGCCACAGACATAACTCCCAGAGGCAGATGCATCTTGGGATTTGTAGTTTTGGCACAGTTGGAGTACCAAGGTTTGCCACCACTGGTCTAGCTTAAAGGGATCTGGAAAAGGCAAGCAAAAATAACATCAAGCAGAAGCAACCACTGTGGGGAAGTTACAAGCCTGCAGCTGGAATTTAAGTGCCAGAGCCCTGCTGATGTTTGGCTTCAATGCTGAGTCAGTTGGACAGCCAAACTGTTGCCATTTGATAACATTGGGTTGAAGCAATAAGCTAGTATGTTATTACCTCCAATGTGTCTGCATCAACTGAGAAAAGGTAGGCCATCTTCTAAAAGGATGTGATCAACAGGATGATGTATAAGGGATCTCGTGTGAAAAGTGATTGACACATGACTTGGAATGATGATGCAAGGCAATCTGAATTACATTCTGGAAGTAAGCTTAAGTCCAAATCTGCAACAACGATACTGTTCATGCCAAACAAAATACACTTGCAGGGGAAGGCATAGAACGGATTGTGTCCACGCAGTTCCATATTCCATTGTCTTTCCTACATGTTAAACCCACGACTTGAGGTAGGCCTGGCATTAAGATTTACATGAATCAAATGAGTCATCACTATCAGCTCCCATCAGTAATCTAAACCTAGATCACATGGTTACTGGATGTCTGGGGCATTGTGGCAGATTTCCAAGCAGATCTGCTACCTGTATTGTGATATAAAAAGGGTCAAAGCACTACTAAGCCAATTCATGTAATAGGCCTGTGCCAACACTGGTAAAAGATATCTAAAACATTTTGTATACAGTAAGAAATAGTTGAAATCCCTGTAAGATATATATATATATAGATTTATTTTTTTGGGCTGTCTGCCTCCTTTTGGGAAGATTTGCCTTCACTTTCCTGTCCCATAGATAACAGAAGTAAGAAGAAATAGACTAGGTTCCAGAAGGATGTCATGGATTTCAGCACTATATGTTAATCCCGCAACCAAAGTCAGAATGGTACCTTGTCCCGAGCTTTCACGCTTTAGAACGGAACGCGCCAGGGTTGGCCACTCACTTACTTTTTTTTTTTTGCTTTCATTGGAATCCTTCCTGGACACTGTTCATCAAAATTCTGATATTCAAGCAATTGTTACTCCTGCAGGTGAATTTAAAATGGCAGCATATGCAGATGATGTCTTATTCTATGTGCGTAACCCAAGAACGTCCCTGCCACAAATCTGGAGAGAACTACAACTTTCTGGTGATCTGTCTAATTTTAAAATTATTCTGGGCAAATCTGAGATACTTAACATAACGGTATTTGAGTCTGAGAGACTCGCTCTTCTCCCACATTTTCCTTTTATTTGGCAGCCAGAGATACTTTGCTATATAAACATTTCTCTGACAGCCAAAAATACAGACTTATATCCATTTAACTATATTCCCCTGTGAAACGTTATGAAATCTGACTTAACCTCTTCTTTGCTGGATTTATCCTGGATAGGCAGAATAAATACGGTTAAGATGATGATCCTCCCCAAGATTGTATTCCTCTTCCAAATGTTACCGATTGATCTCCCGGGCTCATATTTTGCATTACTTAAACAAATTGTGTCTAAATATATTTGGCAAAGTCAAAAATCCAGAATTTCTTACCATACTTTGGTTAGACGAACGATAAATGGAGGATTAGCTCTTCCCAATTTGAACAGTTATACTACAGGACAGGACTGGTCCTTCAACGCCTCGCAGAAGTGCTGCGTATCTTGGGAAATGCTACAAGTGAAGCCCCAGTAGCTGATATTGCTTGGCTTCCCCCTTCAAAGAGACCTTTATCTTCTACTCTACCTTTAACTACACTTACTTTACGTACATGGGATCGCTTACATTGTAAACTCAATTGGCCTTATAATTCAATACTACTGAAGCCTTACAAGAAGAAATGGTCAGAGGCTGTTGGCATGCTGCAGGATACTGTCAGAATCTAGGGACATGTTACCGCTAGAGATTGCCTTTTACAAATTAATGCTCCCACCAATGACTGCTTGGGGTCTGAGACCCACACAGGTCTTTAGATAAGTACAACTATAGAGAAATAATTCAATATGATAAACATGCCCGCCTGGCTGCCCAGGTCTTGTACCATCGCAGGGGTCAGGGTGGACTGGGTGTCCCCCACTTGGGAAAATACTACACAGCAGCCCAGATTGCTCCACTAACTCTGTTCCACTCCACCACAGCGTTGCCCCAATGGGCTCTCATGGATATAGTTGAATGTGCCCCCCTCCCAATCCACAACTTGTTATGGACCCTTCCCTCTTCGCGCCCCCTCATCCAGGACCCCATTTTGCGGTTCAGCTTGAAGCAGTGGGATTCGGTCAAATATACTGCGGGCCTGATGTCTCCCCATCGCCCCCTCTCCGGCATATTCGGGACTCCCTCATTCTCCCCAGCTAATGAGAACACATCGGCGTTCGTGTGGTGGTCCCGACGGCACCCCTTTTACATTAGGGACCTACTGTCTATAGATGGGGTTAAATCCTTCCAACACCTTCGCACCCACTGGAACGTTCCTCTCACAGAGAACTTCCGATATTTACAACTTCTGAGTTATATCACGTCACTTCTCCGACACAGCTCGAGTTCCCCAAGCACCCTTACCCCCTTTGAGTCTCGTTGTTGGTCTGACCCTCATTCAGCGGGCCTGATAACCCTGCTATATGCCTCGCTGGTGCCATCAGTTGGAGAACAGAAACTTTCCTACATGCTGGCCTGCATGGGAGAGGGACCTGGGGGACTCATTGGACCCCCACGCATGGTCCGAGATTTGGTCGGCGGCGACGAAGTGCTCCCCGAATGTGTTGGCCCAGGAAAACGCACACAAGGTCATGTTCCAGTGGTACATGACCCCGGACAGGATTTCCAAGTTTGCCCCCTCCGTTTCCGGGGATGTACGGACAGGGGCACCTTATTTCATATATGGTGGCAGTGCCCGAAGGTGCAGAGGTTGTGGATCAGGGTCTATAATTTGCTGAGATCAGTTCTCGGATCCCCTTGCGGCCCCCCTCCCCTTCTTTCTTTCCTTCTGCTTGTATGTCTCTCTCTCTTGTCTTTTGTTGCTCTTTTCTTCTACACTTGCCTAAAGGTTCTTCTAGTGTTTGATGGAACCTATCTCAGATGTCACAGAGTGATGGCAAGCCTATAATATGCTGCTTTATTACCCTCTAGTGGGGGTTTTGCTGGCGCCCTGCAGCAGCAACAGGTAGCTGGAAGCCCCACTCTGGGCCTTAAGCAGAGACTAGCCCACCCGTGGAGCCTATGCATAGGTTATCTTGATACTATTTGATTTCGTACAGGCTCATAGGGGGTGGCCCTCAGTTTTTCACAGTTAACATATTATGTTCAGATTTCTGGTACTGCATTGCATTAGCTATTATGTAACTGTCATGCTGTAACCCATCAGTCAACCGTTCTAATGTACGATATATACTATAATGTACCATAATGATATACTATAATGTACCATAATGTTTTTCCCACACGCACCTTTTGGTAGTGTCTCCTTGTGGATGGAATGTATTTCTGTTCTTGGTTTTCCTCAATAAAAATATTTGTACAACAATATGATAAACATGAAGATTTGAGTGAGGTGCATGTCTTTCATGTTTACTATTGTACAGCCCCCCCTCTGCAAATGTCAGTGAGAAGGAAAATCAGATGCTCGGCCATTTGATATTAGCATTTTGATAATGACCTCCTCCTTTTATTACCCGATATATAAAAACATTAACATTTTTCTGACCACAATCTGAAGACACGTGCTGAGATTTTAATAAAGAAATTTTATTACAAGGCCGTTCCTTAATGCAGACTGAATAGAACACAATGTCACGTTAAGTCGTCTTCTTCGGTTTTTTCTTTTCATTTTCTTCCTTCTCTTTTTCAATCTCTGCCACGTACCTCTCAATCTCATCTGGGCTCAGGATCTGGGAGAGAATAGGTGATGGTGAAGAGGGGTAGTTTGGGAGAACGAATCAGCACGTCTTACAGAACTTACAGCAACCGCTACACTTCCTACATCCAAGTAATCACAAGATCTCCAATACATGGGAAGATCTAGATAGAGCTGCTGAACAGCAATTGTCTGAGGCCGCTCGTCAAAGAAGCATGTGACAAAGTGAATTGGTTATCTATGCAAAGAACACGTAGACTCAAAACGGTCAGAGAAATGGGATCACCACTAATGCCGAGCTTCTGAAAACACTAGCCACCTGAATATTATGCTGGCCAACCAGTTACGATATATACTTTGCCTTAGTGTTGTAGAACAAGTAGGCAGATTGTGGCAGATCCCCGTATACTTGTTAGTAGGGATGTACTGATACCATTTTTTTTGGTATCGAGTACCGATATGTATCTTTTGGTTCTCGTCAATACCGAGTACCAGTACTTCTGGTAGCATGGAGCCGGCTTCCATGCCAAACATCATAGGGCCAGCTTCCCAGCCAATCAGGAAGCCGGGCCGCGAGTCACTACACACAGATTGGCTGGGAAGCTGGCTCCATGTGCCCTCAATGCACTGCCGGTCTGAAGAAATCTCCCTCTGACCAGAAGTTCCGGTATCGGAGCATTTGAGCAAGTACGAGTACTCGCCCAAATACTCTGTATCGGCACCGATGCTAGTATCGGCGCATCCCTACTTGTTAGTGATCCAGAATACTGAGATAACAAGGTCAGCATAACCACAAAGCAGTTAGCGTCTTAAAGCAACCCTGTCATGTTTTAAAAATTGAGAAATAACCCTGCAATAGAAGAGGAAGAATGCTCACCTCTCCAGCAGTCTGTGTCTCCTACCTCCCTCTATGATCAAGCACTGCAGTCTCTTCAGCTTTCAACATTACTGCAGGTATTCGATGCCCCCATTATGCTCCATGGTTCCTTCCTCTGACCCCCTGCAACTATAGGACTCAGCAGGAATGTAGGGGGTCGAATAAGGGAACTCCCAAAAAAGACTAGCAGAGGCTGCAGTGCTGGAACAAATAGGCGGTAGGAGAGACGGGCCATCTGAATGTACCATATACTACCTTTTCTATTGCAGGGAATTTATGGCTGCAGTTTTTAAATCGGCTTCTATCAGCAGGTTTGGGTCAGCATGTAGCCACGTGCAGCTGAGTCCTCCCATAGAGACATACAGATGGCGGCACCTGTCCCTCTTGGGAGCAGGTCTCTGCACATGTATGCATGCTGTACAGATGTGCACACCAGTGTGAATGAGCCCCAGTTCTAAGAGATCAGTCTTTAATGTCTGTATAGTGCAGGTTGGAGGATTCAGTAGCCCTTTGCTTCCACAGAACATTCAATAATAAAGTCAGTTTTTCCTATAGACATGTACCTTCAGTGGCTGGTCTCGCCTCATAACCGCTAGTTCAATGTTCTTGCCTCCAGACTGAACGACTTCCAGAAGTGTAAAGTGTTGTCACAGCGCTAAAGGTTTGAGATAAATATAAAAATATGTGAATATATATGGATCAAAACATGAGTGACAACCCTGTGTATAAGTCTTCAAAAAAACCTACCAATATGAATATAAAGTACCAAAAAACAGGTGTCCATAATGGAGGTTCCCCTGCCATAAAACAAGGGATTCTTTCCTGGGGGAGCACATATAGGAAGACTCATCTTACAAATAGCTTGCCTGTTCCCTCCCCTCCTGTCTGCTCCATGCCACTGACTGATTGTGCCACTCTCTCCTAAAGACTACAGGGCAGTATGTTATCTGCATATGGCTAAAGATTGAATATAAGGAGTAAAAGGAAACCCCGCACTTGTTCTAGAACACCGCTCCAGCTATCCATAGACATTAGGTAGCAGAAGTCCCCATTGATTCACCTCTGAAACGTCGTTCACAGAACAAAACTCCTTAGAAAGTGTGGCCAGAAAAATCATCCAGTAGAGTTGGAATCTTTCAGACCTTTGTCAATATTTTATTATATTTTTTAAAGATAAAGCAATTGTACACAATGTCGCTCAATGCCAAACCTACGCATTCAAATCAATGCCCTACAATGGAGGTTACTGCCACCGGCTGTTTACCTGGGGGCACCCTGCAACTTTATTGCTCCGGACAAAGCAATCGGTCCCCACATGGGACCTCCTCCTCTGATGCATTTTCACCCACCAGACTAGTCAATCACAGACCCAACCTTGTGGGTAAAATGTGTCAGTGAAGGAGATCCCTGAACAATAAAGTTGCCAGCATTTGAATTTAACAGAGTTACACCTGACTTGGCCAGGAATGTAGAACTGGAAATCAGTAGCAGGACGGCTTTTGTACTCACTTCCAGAAGTGCCTTAATGACCAGTTTAATGGTCAGATCGTCTGTCTCGATAGCCTCCTCCGTGTAGTGTTTCTCCAGGTACTCCCGCACAGACTTGGCCCCTCTGCCGATAGCATTGGCCTATAAGACAACAATAGATTAGTCTTTACTGAACCTCCACGGGGCGCCAAATGCCGAGGAAATAAAGACGGACTTACTTTCCATGCATGGTAAGTGCCTGAAGGATCTGTCTGGTAGAGACGAGGGGTGCCATCGAAATCAAAGCCGACAATCAGGGCTGAAATACCGAAAGGCCGGCGGCCGTTGCTCTGAGTGTAGCGCTGGTGGGAGACAAAGCTGGGGTTATAGCACAGTCCACAAAACAAGAAGTCGCTGGGAATGTAAGCTTATTACAGGGCTGGACGAATCCCAGGAGCCAGGTCTCTAATGCGCCTCAAAAATTACAGCTGCTGCCCAACTTTTAAGGTTCTCTAGTTGTTGCAGGGGTGCTGGCTTCTTAGTATACAAATCCAAGAGGTATTTACTAGATGGGAACACATCCCGTTATCATAAAAAGTAGGGATGCACCGATAACAGTTTTTCGGTAGAGTACAGATATTTTTTTTGCATGGGAAAGCATGGAGCCGTCTTTCTGGGCAATCAGGAAGCCTGGTGCGGTGTAATCACTTGTTGTCCGGCTTCATGATTGGTCGAGAAGCTGGACAATCAGGGAGCTGGGCAACGAGTCATTACAAGGTGCCCAGCTTCCTAATTGGCCGGGAAGCCGGCTCCATGCTCCCTCGCCACCAAGTGACGAGGGAGCATGAAGCCGGCTTTGTGGCCAATCAGAAAGCCGGGGGGCGGGTAATGATCAGGAAACTAGGCAGCAAGTCATTGCACGCTGCCCGGCTTTCTGATTGGCCCGGGGAACCAGCTCCATGCTCCCTCGTCACCAAGGCCAATCAGGAAGCCGTGCAGTGTGTAATGACTCGCTGCCTAGCTTCCCAATACCGGAAGCTCAGGTATCGGGCTAGCCATCAAAGCATTTGGGCGAGTACTCGCAATCGCCCAAATACTCGGCATTGGCACCGAAACTAGTATCGGTATCGGTGCATCCCTAATAAAAAGAGCTCTTTATTGGGAGACCAATAAAGGTGACTATATATTAGGTTATTCCTAATCTTTTGAGCAGCACAGAAAGTAAAGCCTCAGGCAACCCAACTTGTTAATAAATGGGCAGCTTTGGCCCTGGTCAGCTCCTTGTGAATGTCACATGATAGCCATCTGCCGTTCTATTGGCTCATTACAAAAGCCGCTGTTGAGATGCTGGTACCTGTTTCAGACTGGCAATGTATCGTGTGATGTACTCCACGGTCACTGGGTCTTCCACCGTCAGTCTGTGGCTCTGACACTCTACCCGTGCCCGATTTATAACTATTCTTGCATCGGCTGTGAGACCTGCAAAGGAAACGACACGTTCAATAGCGTTCCATAAACTGACGTTTGCTTGGTTTCTAGAAAAGACTGAAAGGATCTAAACCCAGCAACAAAAATGTCATATATTGCGGGTTAACATTCCTTAGATGCGGTGGCTGCATTTGTTTTCATTTTGTCAGGCTTTCGCTTTATTTGGAGTCAGTAACCCGCTTTCTGTCCTGCGGTGACAACCCTCTCCCACTGTACTGCATCTACTGGGGAGCAGCGGTGTCATCCCAAGACAGAAGTGCTGTAGGACCTTCTGCAAAAAAACTGCAAATCAGAAAATGGTATAAATCCCTGGTGTCCACCTTGCGGCCCTGTGGTGTGTGAACTCCGGCCCTCTAGCTGTTGTGGAACTACAAATCCCATGAGGCACTGCAAGATTCTCACAGCCACAGACATGACTCTTGGAGAGAGATGCACCATGGGATATGTAGCTTCAGCACAGATGGGGGGCTGAAGTGTGCCCACCCCTGAGCTCAGCCATAGTTCTAGTCCCATGTCCTTACCAGCAAAGGCCATGAAGACGTTGTCATCCAGAGCGCAGATTTTCCGCACCGTCCTCTCATCCTGAAGTTTGGCCACAGACTTCTTCTCGACTCCGAGTACCACAATCTCCTTTCCTCGTACTCCGACCTGCAGAACAGAACACAATGTCAGACTCCAGCGCCAGCTGTACAGACCGTGGTACCAGCACCAGCCTTGTCCCCACATTTATAAGGAGATGTCCTAGCTAAGGCGGGAACTAACATTCACATATTATAGGTGGTGGAATGTCCCAGCATATACTATGCAAGAAGGAAGCACCAAGATGCATACAAGACGGCGCCGGCTTCAACAAGAGAGGGGCCTACACCAGCAGGGTAAGGCCACAACCACAGGTCACTGGGGGGTTCTCTGAGCATCTGCTGAACTTTAAAAACGGGGTTCTGAGTATTTGAACTCCATAAGAAAAATAAATGTTGTCATTCTCGGTTACATCTCGGTGCTCCTGACCTCCTGCTGCCACTTCCTGCCTACAGGCACTCCAGCGATGACCACATGGCATTTTTCATGGCGGGTTTCCTGATGGTGACAACAGTGGATCAGGTCTGCGTAATGCGCTTTGAAATGACCACTTGTAGTCTCCATCAGACGCCCGTGTGACCATGCAGAATTAGGACATAGGGAACCATTACAGAAAATGCCGGAACAAGGACCTTCAAAGCAGATATGGAGATTTAAAGCCTAACTCTGGGCGAAACCCCTTATCCTAGAGCAGGGCAAACTCCAGCCGTCCAGCTGTGCTTTAACTACAAATCCCATCATGCATCTGCCTCTGGGAGCCATGCCTGTAACTGTCAGTCTTGCAATGCCTCATGGGACTTGTAGTTCCACAACAGCTGGAGGGCCAGAGCTGCCCACCCCTGCTATTGGCTTTTCCACATAGCTCTTGAACAGACATGGGTAGGCAAACTCCGGCTCTCCAGCTGTGGTGGAACAACAAATCCCATGAGGCTTTGCAAGATCCTCACAGCTACAGGCATGGCTCCCACAACCCCCGAAACGTTATGTGTTCTGACATGAAGTGTCAATAAACAGCGCTGGTGACTTTTTTTTAACAAGTTTCAGAATTGGCAGCGCCATCCGCAGTCACTTGGAGCGCCCACGCTGACAGGGATATCCGGTAAGGGGTGCAGCAGGATTCTAGAATACACCCCCTGGGCCAGCCAGTCCCCCTATATGCTGATGTCACTCCTCTTCTGGATCCTGAGAGGAGCCAATCGGAAGGGAGCACTTCATGCAGGCGTGGACGTTTGAAGAAGGACTCGGTAGGATGTAAACAGAAGAGGGGAGGAGACTGGGGACTGGAGATGACATGACCGGGGCTTTAGACAAGTAAAAATGGCAATTAGAATTTTTTTCTTGCCAGCGATCAGTTAAAGGGCAACTCCCCCCCCCCCTTCAACTGATTGATGGGGAAAAAAATAAAAAAATACAGGGGGGTCATGTTGGCTTTTAACATTTGAAATGACATTTGCATGGTAAAAGTTTTTCTGAGCTGAGATCTCGGCCTGACACACAAAGCTCAGCCCATGTGCAGGAGTAATAAATATAGGAGGAAGCATTACACCTTCACACCACTCACTTCCTGTCCTGATGGAATGACACAGCAAAAACAACAACAGTTCCACAAGGTGTTATATGTTATACTGTGGATGGGTCAGATCATCATCGCTGTCTGTATTCCCTAGGGGGAAAACCCAACCACCCCCTGCCCCCAAATTCCATCCCATGATAGTAGTCCCTAGAACAGGAAGTGATGTCACTACCACTTGCCCACAGGCTTCTTCTCAACTCCGGGTGTTCTATCGAGATGTCCAACTTGTCGAGATCTCCAACTCCCGTCAGTGCCCCTGCGCAGCCACTTAAGAGCAGTATCACATTCTCTGATTTGCGTTAGTGCGCCTGCACGGGCATCCGATGGCACAAGCAGTGATGCCAGTTGGAGAACTCGATGAGGATTGCGCACTTAGGCTTGGAAAAATGCCAAGGCTCGCGCACTAGCGCCATGTCATGTCAAAATCTCCAACGGCTGTGACATTACAAGTTGGAGATCTCGACGAGTTGGCCATTTCGACAGAACACCGTGTATCACAATTTGCTCTGCGGCGTGGTGTCATCACTTGATATTATTGTAAAGTGCTGTCAGCCATAATAGCAGATTTCCCCCAGAAAATATATAGCAAAGGCCTGCAGCTGTTGCTCATAGCAACCAGATACCCTGGACCACAAGCTGACAATTGGTTGCTAAGGGCAACAGCTTCACTTCTCATATATCCCACAGGGAGCTGTTGCCCAAAGCAACTAGATGCTCTGTATCATAACAACACATGCTAAGGGCAACAGTCTCCCTTCTTATATATCTGGTAGGGAGCTGTTGCCCATAGAAACTAGATCCCGTCTATTGTAGGTGCTGACACTTGAATGGTTGCTTAGGGCAACGGCTTCACTTCTCATATATAAGGCCGAGAACTGATGAACTGTATCATGAGAGCTGATTGGTTGGTAAGGACAACAGCTTCACTTCCCATACCTCAGGCCCAGCGTGTCTTTCCCTCCCCCTGTGAAGCTGCCATTATCATGCCCCTCTTTTTTTTCCCTCCACAGAGATCACCAGAGCCGTCCTCACCGCCGTGGAGCCTTTCTTCACGGCCTCCTGGGCGTATTCCACCTGGAAGAGATGTCCGTCCGGGGAGAAGACGGTGATGGCCCTGTCGTAGCTCATTCTCACAGCGGGTACAGCCTGCTCGCAAAACCGAAAGCTTCTCAAAACAGCTCACTCATCCGCCTCCTATACACCAAGATGACTTACGCCTCTGACGCAGCGTAACCCCCCTGCCTAGCAGCAGCACTACGCTACGCAAATGGCGTAACCAAACCCCGCCCCCGGGAACCTGCGCTGCCCGGCGCTTATAGACAGGAAACCCGGCTCGTGGAGCGTACCAATAGTGCGTAGGGGAGGACGAGTTGCTCCACTCCGCCACCACGCAGGATTTCTTTATCTTTCACCTTGACCGTTAGACTCATTCAATAAAGTGAATTAAGTCCGTGTAGTAATGAACTGAAACCTGCCTGGCGCAGCTCGTCGGGTTGGAAGAGGGTCATACCATTCGGCAGCGTCTCCCCCTGTCTGCTGCGTAGAATAAGAATCCTCTGGCTAGCAATAAGGGTGCAGATATTAAGAATATCTGTAATAATTTATTCTGCTCAGACACGCACAGGTCCAGAGGGGGGGAATCATGTCTGTGGCCTTTGCTGCAGCCAGACCCAGAGGAAAAGGAGAAGTCACCCAGCAAACTATACAGAAGGTAAATGATCAGCTGAATGGGGGAGAGGGGGGGTTGATGGCACCAGCTTTATTCTAAGGGGGGGAGGGACATGTATTGCCCATGTGCCATGCATATATTGCAGAAGACAGATCTATGTAATCTGCATGATTGATGCATGACAACCAAGCATTGCTTTCCATTTTACAATATAACAATTTTGCCTTATCTCATATATATCTAAATAACATATATGATGATTGAACTCTGCATGGGTGCCATGATGAATGCTAATTATTTAAATGTCCTCTCAGATGTCATCTGCCTCCATGACAGTTGCAGCCATTGACACACTTAAATGCTTTCTTCATCCTTATCTGTGGATTAGGGAGGAGGGTTTATGAATGACTATCGCCGTTTCATTTCCTTCCATCACACAATCCAGAATGGGGATCAGTGAAGGTGTACAATCTGGATTCTCTATCACTTGTATCATTTTTTTTTTTTTTGATGAATCCTCTCAGCTTGCCTTGGGGGTTCAGGCTGATGCGTGCTCAGTGTCAGTGTGGTCGGTTACCAGCAGAACTGTGGCCAATGTGACCGAAGTTCTGTCTGCAGACGGTGGCTTGGGGGACACATGTGGCTCACGGTGCTGCAGGAAATGCTCAGTTCCTCTTGATGCACTACACCTACGTGTGACATTTCTGCTAATCATGACACCTAACAGGGGTTAGCCATTCATGTTATTTATCTTGTCCTCATCGGAAGAGGTTTATCATCTCACATTGGATGTAACGTGTGTTGGATCCAAAGGTGAGATTTGGAAACGTCATGAGAAGGGGCACCGAGAAGGAAATGTTGCCAGATGCCAGGATAGCCCTAGTCAATGCCAGGTTCAGTAGACACATGCATGTTCTTATGATTTCCGGGCACTGTACTTTCCTACTTTCCACCCCAGTGCCCTCCCTCTTCCTCTGAAGTCCCCTTCCCGTGGACATTATTCGGAAATCTTCATGCCTGTCATATGATGCTGCAGGATCACCATCCTCTTCACCTTTACTCCGGGTTGGGTGATCCTGAATGATTCAGAGAGCAGCCCTGACATGATCACATCAGTGCTGCTCTCTGCACCATTTAACATTGAATTCAGAGCGCCATGCTGCCCCCCCCCCGGTCCCATGATGCCCTTCACTCACAGTACAACCCTCAGTCTTACCTGTCTTAAATCCCAAAAACATATTACATTAACATAGGCCCTTCATTCAAGCTTATATACAGATTTTCATGGGAGTTTTATTTTAAAGCAAACCAGTCTTAATTCCCAATTGCAGGATTAAGTCTTTTGTTTAAGACATGTCATACTGACCTAAAATCCAGAGCTGTCGCTTGTAGTAATCTGTTTTGCCACAAGATGTCCTCGGTCTTCCAGGTTGAATGATGTCCATTATCCAGCATCATTCAACCTGGAAGACCGAGGGCATCTTGTGGCAAAAAGAGATTACTACAAGCGACAGCTCCGGATTGAAGGCCAGTATGACATTTCTAAAAAAAAAAAGAATTTAACCTGCATTTGCGATTCAAGACAGGTAAGACATCTAGTGGCAAAAATACTGAGGGTTGTGCTGTGAGTATAACTCATGAAAATCTGTATATCAGCATCAATAAAGGGCCTATCTTAATATAATTTGTTTTCAGCTTTCTAATTATGGAGTGATGCTATACACGCTGGCAGCTCACTGACAACCTGGCACCTTTAGGGATCGATTGATAAAGCAGGGAATGTGACTTTTGCCAAACATTCACTGGTGGAGAATTAATCACTGTCATTTAAAACACATGCACCTGAAAGATTCTTCTGCAGTGAATGTTTGGTGATGGTCAGAGTCACTGCTTTTTAAATATGCCCCTTGTTTGTTGTGTCAGGATTGGAGGTGAGCCTAAGTTCGGCCAAGCCCACAGAAAACTATGACTCGCCCTCCTGGCCCAATCAGCAGTGACAGTGTTAGCGGGGGCATTCCCTGCCCTTTCTTGATGTATAGCTTCAGGGCAGGAGCATTTTGCCTTCCCACAACTGAACGGGCTGAGGGGGGCAGTCACAGTTTTAAGCGGGCTTGAGTGAACTCAGGCGCACTGGGTTTGCACTAAGCCCATCCTCATTACTGTCCAGGATGACAGACAGCAGCTCAGTGAAGCAGAGCAGAGAGCAGAAAAACTTAGATATCAAATTTGCTCTCAGCATAGTAAAACGTCTCACTGTAGCAGATGCGGAGGAGTAACCTCTTATGTCCAATTAAGTAACATTCCAGTACCTTTGCATATCCTCAGATTCCTAGTGCATGAGCAGGATCCTGGATCACGGGTCTAGCTTTATACAGGGCTTTGACTTTTTTCTCTAAGTCAAGATTAAGCCCCTCCTTTCCTGGTACTAAGCTGCTCTTGCATTTCTAACCCCTTTGCCCATTGCCTAACTGTTAAATATCAGAGTCTGTGATTTACAGGTCAGGCAGTGCTGCAGATGCTATATATAAAAAAAACACAAGGTATCTATCACTATTATCTTTTACAGTGTATCATAGCAAGTCCATGTGTTTCTGATTGTTGAGTGCAGAGGAGGTGGAAGTTGATGTGACTGGTCTTGTCTCTGCCCCCTCCTGTAATAAAGACCGCGCACTGCTGCTCTCTCTCTTTGTGCAGGGTGACTGGTCTTGTCTCCGCCCCTTCCTGTAATAAAGACCGCGCACTGCTGCTCTCTCTCTTTGTGCAGGGTGACTGGTCTTGTCTCCGCCCCTTCCTGTAATAAAGACCGCGCACTGCTGCTCTCTCTCTTTGTGCAGGGTGACTGGTCTTGTCTCCGCCCCTTCCTGTAATAAAGACCGCGCACTGCTGCTCTCTCTCTTTGTGCAGGGTGACTGGTCTTGTCTCCGCCCCTTCCTGTAATAAAGACCGCTCACTGCTGCTCTCTCTCCTTGTGCAGGATGACCAGTCTTGTCTCCATTCCCTCATGTAGTCTCCTCTAGTAGGTGGGGCTTGCTGGGTCCCTCCCATAGTTCTTTTTCCTGCACAGGCCATGTACAGTACAGTGATGTCAGTACTACTTTTACAAGGTTTGCAAAGGCATTTGGTGCATACAAAGTAGATTATATCCTATATCTGAATAATGTGTTTGTGTGCGGGGTTCAGCTTTACAAAATAAGAAGAGCTTTTTTTTTCATGAACTGACTTCTTTCTTTTGCTCTGTCATTGAACAGATGCTGGATGAGAATCACCATCTGATACAATGTATAATGGATTATCAGAGCAAGGGGAAGACTGCCGAGTGCACACAGTGAGTATATGGGCAGCCATAGCAGGCATGCATGGCACTAAACCTGCATGAAATGTGATCGGCGTCATTGACTATAAGGGCATGGGTGTTGATGTGTCTTTCCAATGGAATTTCACACGCCTTTAACTACACCCCAAAGGGCCGACAGGGCCTTAGGCTTTGTATACAAAGGCAATGGATGGACTGAGCAATTCCTCCTCTTATTTTTAAAGCCCAACTGAAGTAATAAAAATAGATAATCATTTAGTTAGACATTGTACCGATGTCCTCTTTTTTCATAGTATTACCACTTTCCTGTTATAGCAGTTATGCAGGGTCTCTAAATATGACAGTGTAGTCCATTAGACCCAGTGCACTTTGCAATCAGCACTTAGTACCAGTCCTAGTCAGACACGCCCCCTCTTTTGCTGAGGGGGTGTGGCTGTTACTTAGCTATTCCAGCACAGAACACTGAGGTAAGAGAGCAGAAAGGAGCATGCTCACTCAAGCGTATACTCAGAGATTTGGATGAATGCAGCCTTTTAGTTCCAGAGTAAAAAGACACAGTGGGAAGGAAAACAGACGCCAGCCATGCCCTTTACACCTGTGTACCTGGACTCAACCCAATTCTGGTCCTGCATACTCCATTTGATTAAGTTGATAGGTTTCATCCATGGGGAAATTAGAAAAAGACAAATAATTGGAATGATAAATTCACACAAAAAGTAAATAAAGAGGAAATATTATATTAAGCATTGATTAACTATTACTCATTTATCATGCAGTACCAACATGGGCCACCAGAGGGGTCTTTGCATCGTGTTTTTCCATAAATATCTTATATTGTATGTTAATATTTCTGTTTTGCATTTGATTACATCTCATAGATACCAGCAGATCCTGCACAGAAATCTGGTGTATCTCGCCACTATAGCAGACTCCAATCAGAACATGCAGTCTCTGCTTCCTGCGGTGAGTAGAGTAGCCTCCCCATTCTTCCATCCTTACCTATAGATAAGGTATTGGTGCTTTAAGGACCCCTATCATAAATATATTGTATTCTGACATTTGCATGTGGTTAACCCATGTATTGGTAGTGCTAAGTGCAGTGTTTCATTTCCACACCACTTTATGTTTTCTTCACACTTACATGCAGGCCAAGCTGTCCAGGAAAAAGTGATAGCGACAGAGGTTGGGACAAACCGTAACACTGCTATGGAGGAATGAACAGTCACAGCAACAGAATTTTGTTTTAAAAACCATGAGAATAGATGGTTAAAATTTAAGTAGGTATGCACCGATACCGGTATCTCTTTATCGAGTACGAGTACCGATATTTTTTTCTGGTACTTGCCAATACCGATACCAAAAGTCCCATTAAGGAAGCCGGGCTGCGTGTAATGACTCGCCTCCCGGCTTCCCGATTAGCAGGGAAGCCGCCCGCATGCTTCTCGTCACTAGGTTACGAGAAAGCATAGAGCCGGCTTTCTAGCCAATCAGGAAGCCGGGCAGCGAGTCATTACACTCTGCCCGGCTTACTGATCGGCCGGGAAGGCGACTCCATGCTCCCTCGTCACAAGTGAAGGCATTTGGTGCATACAAAGTGACAAGGGAGCGTGGAGCCACCTTCCCTGCCGATCAGGAAGCCTGGCAGCTTGTAATGACCGCTGCCCGGCTTCCTGAAAGCTAATTAATACCTTCCTAAGTATCGGGCTAGGCATCGGAGCATTTGTGAGAGTGCGAGTACTTGCCCAAATACTCGGCACTGATACCGATACTAGTATCGGCATCGGTGCATCCCTAATTTTATGCGCTCCTGCCAGTGCCGTAGTTTGTCCCAATGCTGGTCACTTTGGCTGGACCATGAGAGTAAATGATTACAGTTGTAAGCACCCCCACCAATGTCATAGTTGTCCCAATGCTGGTCTCTTTGGCTGGACAGTTAGCCCACATATCAATGTGCCAAAAAAGTTATAAAGAAAGACTTGCAATTAAAAAAATTTTAATTATACACTATTTGTTATCTAAATTATTCGAATATCATTGGCGATAGTGGTCCTGCTTGACTTCCTTCTAGCATGGGTGGTTCTGAAAAACCACCGGGGGCCCTCAGTTCAATTCTTGACCACAACACTACCTGCATGGAGTTTGCATGCTCTCCCTGTGCTTGTGTGGGTTATCTCTAAGTGATCCGGTTTCCTCCCACAGCGTGCTGGTAGGCTTCTGTCTAAATTGGCCCTAGTAGGTGTGTACAAATTGGCTATGCACATGTCTATCACATCCTGCATGCCCATGCCAAGCCTGTGCAACTGGGAAGGGTCAACAAAAGACCTGGTGACCTACCTCGTAAAAAATTAACCAGGAATATTCTACGGGCAAGGCCTGTCAAGCTTATCAGTCATGTGCCCAGATAACTGGCCCATAGAGTCGCAGAGAGTCTGGACAGATATACGTATATTGTCATATTATATTATATAGACCTTTGTTTTTGCATATTGTTTATATGATGTTTTACATCAACGTGCATTTCACCGCTCAAGAGGGCAATAGAGGCATGGAATAGATCACCGTAATTATCTTTGTGCTTGCATTGTTTGTGGCCTGGTGCTGCTCTGCTTGTGAAATGACGTAGTTTTATTTGCAGCCGCCGACGCAGAACATAAACCTGGGCCCCGGAGGGATGAGCCAAACGGGCCCCAGCCAGACGCTCCACACACAGGGCAACCTGAGCGATGCGCTGGGTGCCAGCCTGACGCCCTCCTCCCTCATGCCGAACCAGATCAGCAACGGTGAGGCCTGTCTCTGATGTCTTACAGTTGCCTAGCAACAGAGGTGCAAATGCTATGTGTATTTGAAAATCCCCGTCTGTGAAGGGAGTGCGTGCTCCCTCTTCAAGAAGTCTGCACCCTTTGTAAAAAGGAAACAAGCAAACGCAGGATCTTCCTCCATTGTTTGCCAAATTTCAGAGCTCGCGTAGGAGCATGCCTAGTCTAGGTGTGTCATTGTAACCTATAGGATGGCAGAACAGGTTTCATTTCCCATCTTTGTCAGTTGTCAGTAGACCAGGTCTGGGAGAAATACCTGACCCTATTGCTGACCACCTGAGAATACTAACTAGACAGCTATTACTGTCTTTAGTACTTTCCAATACTTGGAACAAGTAGGCCAGAGTGAAGCCACCACACATGACTTGCTTACTTGTTCCAGGTCAGCTCCTCAGAATTTTGATGTTTTGGGTAAGTATGACAGCCAGACAACAAGGATTTTCAAAAGTTAGCAATAGCAGCCAGTGTACAGCAATACCTTGGTTTACGAGCATAATTCGTTCCGGAAGCATGCTTGTAATCCAAAGCGCTTGTATATCAAAGCGAATTTCCCCATAGGAAATAATAGAAATTCAGATGATTCGTTCCACAACCCAAAAATAATCATGTAAAAATGATTACAATACTGTACTGTAATATAATACTGCACAAAATATAAAGAAAAATAAACCAATTACCGGTACCTTCGTGGCTGGTGTGAGGGGGACAAGAGAGAGGAGGATTATTTTGTAGGACGACTTTCACTATCACTAACGGAATCACTGCTATCTCAATGGAATCTTTTTCATTTCGTGAAACTTTAACAAGGAATCTATCCAATGTGACATGCATTGTCGTTGAACAGACTCATCGCTCGCACTGTTACAGCCTTATTCGGGTGGTGCTTTTCTACAAAATTTTGCTCTTAATGCAAGACACTGCTTGTATATCAAGGCAAACTTTTTCAGAAATGTTTGCTTGTCTTGCAAAACACTCTCAAACCAAGTTACTTGTAAACCAAGGTATTACTGTATTTACTCAGCACAGGTATCTGCAGCTTCATACAGTGTGCTGGTATGCCGCAAATAGATGCATTCATAGTGGTTCCTCCAGAGTCACTTTACCACCCTACTGATACCACAATATGAGAACTTTTCAGCACAGGTCAGCTCTGAAATAAGTCTAAAATCGGAAGCATGGGTTGGATACTCTTTATTATTCTCATGGATTGTCTGGTCAGTGCCAGTCTGTACATATCATTAGGTTGGGCTGGTGGTGTTGCCAGTGTATGAGCCTGTGTCAATGGGCTTTCGGCTTGTGTTGATGATGAGATGCTTTTGAAATTCATTGGCAGGTGCATTTGTCCTGCAGTTGACCTCCTTCTGACCGACAGTACATTTGACATTCTCCTGAAGTGCAGTTGACCTCCTGTCCTGCAGTTGACCTTCTTATCTACATTTGATTGATTTCGTTGACCTCCTTCTAACCTACATTTGATCTGCTTCTGACCTGCAGTTCACCTTCTTCTTATCTACATTTGACCTACTTCGTTGACCTCCTTCTGACCGACATTTGATCTGCTTCTGACCTGCAGTTCACCTTCTTCTTATCTACATTTGACCTACTTCGTTGACCTCCTTCTGACCGACATTTGATCTGCTTCTGACCTGCAGTTCACCTTCTTCTGATCTACATTTGACCTACTTCGTTGACCTGCAGTGGACCTTCTTTTGATCTACATTTGACCTACTTTGTTGACCTCCTTTTGACCTACATTTGATCTGCTTCTGACCTGCAGTGGACCTTCTTTTGATCTACATTTGACCTACTTTGTTAAATTCCTTCTGACCGACATTTGACTTTTTCTGACTTGTAGTTGACCTACTTTGTTAACTTCCTTCTGACCGACATTTGACTTTTTCTGACTTGTAGTTGACCTACTTTGTTAACTTCCTTCTGACCGACATTTGACTTTTTCTGACTTGTAGTTGACCTACTTTGTTAACTTCCTTCTGACCGACATTTGATGTGCTTGTGACCTGCAGTTGACCTTCTTCTGACCTGCAGTTGACCTTCTGACCAGCTCCTGACCTGAAGTTGACCTTCTTTCCTGCATTTGATCTGCTGCAGGTGGTTTTTGCAGTTCCATAGACTTGTATAGGAATGCAAAACCATTTTGAAGCCAAAAAAAGCCAATTGACACAGCCCCTTATACATATTTCCCATTATAAATAATTATATTGTTAAACCAAACACTTAAGTATTACTGTGATTGAATCTTGCTTTCTGCTACATTTTTTCCTTCTAATTGTTTTAGGGCCCAACCACGTGTCTATGCAGCAGTCTGGTCAAGCCACGATGCCCGCAACCAGCATGAGTATGGCAGTGAGCTCCCACGGTACGGCTCCTGGGTATAGTCATGCTGTGTCCAGCTCTCAAAATTTGCCAATGCAAAGCCAGGGCACCATAGGAAATTATGTGTCAAGGGCTAATATGAACTTGCCATCCAATCCAGGTAAGATGTATACAGTACACATAATCTCAAAGAGGCCTGCTTTCAATCTCTGAACCTGCTTCCAATATCTCACCCACTTGTTAACGATTGATCTTTCTGCTCCGTGTCGTGCCACAGTGTCCATGATGCACCAGCAAGCTGCCAGCTCGCATTACACCACAGCACAAAGTGGAGGCCAGCACTACCAAGGGCAATCTTCCATCTCCATAATGAGCCAGAGTAACCAAGGAAGCAGCATGATGGGTCAAAGGCCTTTGGGACCATACAGAGCATCACAGCAAGGTGAGGAGACCTCATTCGCTTGTCTGTCAGGTCCTCAGTTACAGTCTCCTCTCCAGCAAGGAGAACATTAAGCAGCGGAGACTTGCAGGGTTATTCACAAAAGGGTGAAGAGTTTGGAGAAGGCAGGAGAAGTGAACAATCTAGGCCAAAATAGCTGATTTGGAAACATTCTCCAATTCAGCTCACTTTACAGTTCAGCTATGTTGTCCTAGATTGTTCACTACTCCTGCATTCTCCAAACCCTTCACCCCTTAGGGAATAACCCTGTAGGTATCATCAAATCTTATCAGACTAGCACTTTGTTAAAGGTTGCAGTGCCTTAGATGATCTCACACTGCATATATAGAGCTATGAAGCTCAAGGTACTGGGGTGCACCGCTATACCTCAGGAGGAATCCAAGATACAAGGTAGTTTCTTAGGGTACTGCTTAGGCAAAATGAACATTCCTAGATGTTCCCTATAACATAGCAAATGTTCACTCATTCAGCCTGTTTGTCAGTAAAGCAGGCTAACAATAACCAATGTTATCTTTGTACAGTCTTGCTAGCTTTGCAATCACAGACGTTGGTTCAACGACCTAAACTGTGGAAGCTGTGCAAAAACAGGCAAGCAGAGGACAAATACGTTGCTGCCAGCATAGTACGTGTGCTCCCTGCAGCTGATCTTTTCCCCATTACCCATTTACTGTGTGGAGGAGGCCATACCCAGATAGCAAGGATAACTTGCTACAAACTTGTGGCAGGGTGAAATTGTAATTTTGTTAACTTGCTGCACATATTCCTGGCAAGTTGTAGACTTGCAGAACACTCGCAGCACAAGTTCTAGTTGACACTTTTTGAATTTGTAGCAAATTTGCTTGGCAGTCTGCAATAGTTTAGCAAGTCATTTTCAAACTTGCAGCTCAATTGCTTGCTATCTGGGTATTGGTGGAAGTAGGGCATTGCTACCTCTTGTCAGAGCTGCCCCCTTCATGTCTGGTAGTCTAATGACTGGTGGCAAATATACATAAAAGCAGAAGAAGAGGTGGAGGAATCCCAGATCCACAGAATCAATGAATGAAGCTAAAGCAGGGAGATCCTTGCACTGCAGGTCCTCAGGTACAGTCTCCTCCCCAGCAAGAAGAACAGCGAGCAGAAGAGACTTGGTGTAACCAAATCTTGTGTTGTGCACAGTCATTAAGCTCAGGGGACCAATTCAGGAGACTTAAAGCTCCATAGGTGGCATAGGCTAGTGCCCTTTGAAGTACCTCGTTAAATAGGCTTAAAAGTGCTCTTTTTTAGCTGAGACTGGCTGTAAATGTGTAAAATCCATTCCGTATACGTGCAGGCTCCACCCAGCAATACATTGGCCAGGAAGAGTATTATAGCGAGCAGTACGGACACAGCCAAAGTTCCTCGGATTCTATGAGCCAGCAATATTATACAGACGGTAAGTCTAGCAGGTATATGAAAATTACAGATCATTCTACTTCCAGACGTTTCCTTGTAAATGCTTTTATTTGATGCTTAATGAACTTGTTCACAGGACACAGTGAGTACGCTTACCAACAACCCACCTATGGGGAGCAGAGCTACGACAGGACATTTGATGACTCCTCGCAACATTACTATGAAGGAGGTCAGAAAAGTAAAAATGTAACTCTCTATGCCTTTGGCTTATCATACTGTAGCATTTCGAGCTAGCGACCCTATCATTGGCGACAACTCGGATCTCTGAAAAAGAGCACTCACCTGCTTCAATGCCATAGGAGTGGGAGGTTTCTAGATCCTGATGCTGATGAGTTGTCACTTGCAAACAAAGGATAAACACATTGTTAGAAGAGTGAGGAAGAGTTAGAACTTCAGACAATTTTTTTTCTTGTCCTGGTGACAACCACATCCTCTGATATACACATTTTTGTACCAGTGTCACAAGGACAGGATGTTAAGGAAAATCTCCCCACTTGGTTGACAAACCTCAAACATACAACAGTAGTGTCCAACCAAAGGATGATCGAGTCCAAATTGCTTGAAATAGTTATAATATGATGACATAAAACGGCCAAAATGTTTCCGGGGCCAACAACACTCCCCCTTAATCAGGGTTCAGTGAACTTTAACAAGGCTTACATGGACTCAGTACATTGCCAACATAAGCAGAAGCAACTAATCTGTTTATACTTATACTGACATATGCTGCTTAATTGATCTTTTACTTACTGGCATGCTACTGATAACTCATTGCATCCATCTGATAACTCATTGCAGTTGGCATGGTACTGCACATGTGATCAGCTATGACATCAGCAATCGAGGGCTTGGAAGTTCGGTTGAGAGCTGAAATAAGTTATATGTTGTATGTTTAAGCTTTGATGTTTCTGGGTTCCCATCGGAGGGGACCCTTGTTTTACGTGAGCTGCCTTCCAGAGTGAGTCAGTTAGTTACATTAATGTGGTTTCTCCATCCCTGCAAATAAATAAGTGTTTAAATTCCAGAGCCTCTCCTACTCTATCCAAAATAAAAAAAATGTCTGAAGTCAGTCACTTAACTTAAAGGAGAACTATGGGGTAAGTGTTTTTCTCCATAGTTCCCCTGAGGGTCACGGGAGTACATAAACTAGCGTCCTCCCGTGACCCGAAGCTCAGTATTTAGCGAGCTACAGCTCGCAGTATACTGAGACCGCCGCAGCTGGGACAGATCCCAACATTACTGTCGAGATCCACCCAGCTGCGTGATTGACAGCTGGCTCTGCATATCTAGAGGCAGAGCCAGCTGTACCCGCCCCCTCCCCTGTCCATTCCGCCAGTCAGCGCTGGAGGAGGAGGGGAATCCCTGCAGGGAGCCGTGAGTGACAGTCACGGCTCTGCAGGGAGGTGAGCGAGCGGCGGTATGTGTTCGCTCACTTCCCGATCTACTGAGCCGACGTGTGACAGTTTCATTGTCACACGTCGGCTCGAACTATGAGGATGAGTGGAAATTGCTCACCTCATAGTTCTCCTTTAAGGTTCAAGTAATGAACTATGTCCTGAGCATGAAGAACGCTATACATGAAGTTGTGAAGAATTATTATTATTATACAGGATTTATAAAGAGCCAACAGTTTGCGCAGCGCTTTACAATATAAGGAAGACATTACAATACAATTCAAGACAAGATGGTAAGGAGGGCCCTGCCCCTGAGGGCTTACAATCTAAAAGGGAGGGGCCAGTGATACATGAGGAGGGAGCCGCGTGGGGATGAATTGTTTGAGAATGTGAATGGACGTCACTCTATAATAACTCATTGCTGTGCAGGAAACGCCCAGTACAGCCAGCAGCAGAGTGGATATCAGCAGGGAGCAGGACAGCAACAAGCGTACACCCAGCAGCAGCAGTACTCCAGTCAACAGAACTATCCGGGGCAGCAGCAGCAGGGATACGGTGAGAACACCATTGTGAAAACTGCGGTGCAAAGTGCTGTCTAGTATTGCTATGTATGTAATGGGAAGCAGAGTAGCTAATCGGTGGATTCTGTTCCTTTGCATCGCTTAGGTCTTGTGTGAGATTCCCAGCAGGGACACCATCTGCATAGAACTTGCATGTTCTTCCACAATTTGGGCTTTCAGCAGGTGCTCTGGTTCCCTCCTATAGACAGAATGGAAAGGCAATTGAATGAAAGTGGAAAATTAGGCCTGGTAGAATTCTTCAGTTAAAATGAAAAATGTAGGTTCACTTTAAACATGGGAGGGAGGGAAAGGGTATTAGAGTAATCCGATCATTGTAAAAGGGAGAACCCATGGTGCTCCAGATTTGGATCACATGACCTAACACTATGACGGCTGTGCATGGAGCCACTGACAGCAGAGCATTCAGTCAATGTGAATAATGAGACTGCGGCATTGGTGCCTACAACACAAAACTGCTGCGGACAGGTAAGTAAAATCTGATTCTGATACCCCTTTGCACTCTACCCCTTCTTCCCCAAATTGTTTAAAGGGAACCTGTAACTGCTCCAAAGGTCCCCCCTTCCCTACCCCAAGTCTTATACTTACCTGTCCCAATGCAGCAAATTATTGCCCACATAGCTACCAAGCAGCCTGTCAACATTTTCTGGGGCCAATCTCACACATGCACAGGTGACTTTTCATTCAGACCTATGGAGAGGTTGTACTCCTGTGCTGAATACCTGCATCAGGTACGGGTGAGAGTTAGACTTGCAGGGGAGGATGGGTATGGAGGACAGTACATTATGATAGGAAAGGAGGAAGCAAACAGTATATATCATGCTGCACATCTTATATACCATTCACCATAATCTGTTCTACTTCCCAGTTCCAGCACAGGGCTCTTCCTCACAGTATTCCACCTACCAGCAAGGCCAGACCCAGCCATATTCCAGCTACCGGGCACCCCAGACAGCATCCTCCGCCCAGCAACAGAGGCCATACGGTTACGGCGAGGTAAGGCTAGGGCTCATTTAGAGAGACTCTGTCACATTGCCTCCCTGAACAGTTCATTCTCTCCACTGCATAGTCCCACCTGCTGCTGCATTGTTCTATTGCAGCTGATGCAAATAACCTGCGCTTCTGAGTATAATAGAGCATGGGACCTTCTCCCAGGATCCAGTGCTCAGGCCAGAGCAGCCAAGAAGTATAAATGAGTCAGGTGGGGTGGGGAGGCTATCAAGAGATCCTGTTACTTCGCTTCCCGACCCACTTTTACTCTCCTTCCTTGCACAGCCCTTCTGCTGCATTTCTCCATTGGCACTGTCTTCTAGGTATGGCGGGTCATTGGACCTTCTCCCAGGATGCAGTGCTCAGCTATGGGGGGCTATCTAGAGACTCTGTCACTTCGCCTCCACAACCCACTTTTACTCTCCTTCCTTGCACTGGCAACGTGCTACGTTGCTCCAATGGCATTGCTGCAAATCCCAGTGACTTCTAGGTATGTTGGGGCATGGGACCTTCTCCCAGGATGCAATGCTCAGGCAAGAGTAGCCAAAAAGCATAAATGAGTGAGGTGGGGGCTATCAAGAGATTGTCACTATGCCTCCCCACTCCCCTTTTACTCTCCTTCATCACACTGCCCCTCTGCAATGCTCCACTGGAGCTGCCGCAAATCCCCATGACTTCTAGGTATGTTGGGGCATGAGATCTTCTCTCAGCATGCAGTGCTTGGGCCTGAGCAGGCCAATTATGCGCAGTAGACCACAACAACAACCTAACACTATTCAGTTGTCTAGAATAGGCAGAATAAGAAAAGATGATTGGCTGCTAGGAAAATGACAATGTCATAAAATGTGTTCTGTCCTTGCAGGGTCAGTATGCAAACTACCAGCAGTAAGCCAGCACTTTGGTCCTCCGACAGTCAAATCACGGGTCTGAGGCTAACAGGACTGCGAACAATACCCATCAGCAATGCTTACTGCACGTACCGATTTCAAGATTGAGGAGCGATTGGAGGCGACTACACTCCCTCTTGGTGGAATATTCCCATTTTTTAAAGATCCAGATTGGTGTGTGATCTGTTAGTATAGGCATCATGTCTCCCCAAATACAGGCGGAATATGGACAGACTGTAGCAGCTTTTCTTTTATTATAAGGAGGACCTGTCACGTAATTAAAGTGGAACTCTAGGCAAACGGCTGAATAAACACTTGGTACGTGAACTGCTTTATCTGCCAAAAGGTTAGCACCTTGCCTATTGGACCATGAATCAGCCTAGTAGGCGGTTAGGTATAAATCAGTAGATAACGCTATCATCAGCCTGGCTATGCACTGTAGTCGGGGTTTGTGAATCACAAGTCTGGCTAACCGGAATACAAATCCTTTGGCAGGTAGAGCAATTCTCATATATGTTTTCGGTCGTCTGCTTGCTGTTCCAGTTCTGAAGTCTGCGGAGTACTCAAGCACAGTCTCACGGCTCTCCTCCCTCCTTGCATTCTTCAGCCATCTTCCCATGCTGCAAAGGGGAACGCCACGCCAAGCAGCTATCTCTGCCTGGATGCGTGCCGGCAGGTTGGTGAGGAGCGCCAATCTTTTTGTATAGCCGCATCAGTTTGATTGGCCTGGACCGGCGCGTCCCTTTATCAAATAATGTCAAGTCCATGAGAGAGCTCTGCGCTCTGCCCGGGCCCTTTGTACAGTCGGTGTTCCATGCCTATTCTAAGAAGCACTTTTTTGGAGAAGCAAAGTCTCTTTTTTTTTTTGTCTGTTGTATGTCTTCTATGTAACATTTGCTTTAACGATCCGGATGTACAGTATGCGTGCCGATGTATTTAATTTTATTTTTTGCTTTTAAGTGATTGTAGAGGGCAGATCTCCTTGGACTGGTTGATCCTTCAATGCCTCTGTCAATAAGAGGTGACAGTATTTTTTTTCTTTTTATGTATATTTTATTATATGTCTTTAAAAAAAAAAAAGACGGTGCTGATTTTGCACCTCATGCTTTCGGTTTAAGCACTTTGTTATAGCTATTTAAATGCATCATACTGTGAGAAGGGGCCGCCCCCCGTGAATTAAAAGGATTGTCTGCTCCGAATCCTTTGCTGTGTGTCCCCCTGCTACTGGCTTTATTGGTTTTCTAACTAGGCAACCTCGGCACGCCAGCTGTGATGGAACTACAAATCCTTGTCATGCCTGTGGATGTCAGAGTCTTGCAATGCCTCATCGGACTTGGAGTTCCACAACAGCTGGAGTGCCAAGGTTGCCCACCCCTGCTATTGGCTTTTTCAACATTGCTCTTTAACAGACAGGGGTAGGCAAACTCCAGCTGTGGTGGAACTACAAATCCCATGAGGCTTTGCAAGACTCTGACAGCCACAGGCATGACTCCCAGGTGGTATTTGTCATTTCACCACAGCTGGAGGCCTGCAGTTTGCCTACCCCTGCTCTTTTTTATGATACAGATCTCCTACATGCATCCACAGCCTACATTACCATACTACTACTGATATTATTGCTGTATGGGATTTATATAATGCCAACAGTTTGCGCAGCACTTTACAAAATGGAGGGAGACAGTACAGGTATAATACGATGCACCACAGCTGGAGGGCCGGAGTTTGCCTATCCCTGGTCTAATGTATCGTTTAAAGCATGTTTACTTACGTGATCCCCTCTCCTCCGGCAGTCGGAGCTCTCCTCTCTCCCCTACACTCCAGCTTGTGAACTACTCTAGGTGCTTTACCATTCAGTGCAGGGCCTTGCATTGTATTTAATGGTATCAGTGGGCCTCCAGCTGCCGGGACCTTAGGGGGAAAGAGGCTGCTAGTCTTGTAGCCTTGTGGGGGCCTGGGGGAGTGGGATCTAGTAAGGGGTCTATTTATAAACAATTAATAACAAAAGAATCTCTGTGAATGTTCATTCTTTGCAAATAGACTCACAAAATGTGCGTTTGTATTATATTTTCCTATTGAGTTCAATGTATTTGTGAATGTCATCTTGTAATACCACATTATGACTACTAGATGGATTTGAGGAGCATAGGAAACCAATACTTATTTCCTATGCGCCTGTTTTCGAATGTCATCTTATTATACCGCATTGTGGCCACTAGATGGAGCTCAGAAGCATAGGAAACAAGTCATCTTGTAATGCCACATTAATTCCACTAGATGGAGCTTAGAGGCATAGGAACCAAGTCATCTTGCAATACAACATTGTGGCCACTAGATGGAGCTTAGAAGCATATGAAACAAGTCGTCTTGTAATACCACATTGTGGCCACTAGATGGAGCTTAGAGGCATAGGAACCAAGTCATCTTGTAATACTACATTATGACCACTAGATGGAGCTTAGATGCATAGGAACCAAGTCATCTTGTAATACCACATTATGACCACTAGATGGAGCTTAGAGGCATAGGAACCAAGTCATCTTGTAATACCACATTATGACCACTAGATGGAGCTTAGAGGCATAGGAACCAAGTCATCTTGCAGTACCAAATTGTGGCCACTAGATGGAGCTTGGAAGCATAGGAACCAATTCATCTTGCAATACCACATTGTGGCCACTAGATGGAGCTGAGAAGCATAGGAACCAAGACATCTTGTAATACAACATTGTGGCCAGTAGATAGAGCTGAGGAGCATAACAAACCAATACTTATTTCCTATGCTCCTCCGCTCCATCTAGTGGCCATAATGCAGTATTACAAGATGCCATTTGAAAATACTGTACATTAGCTTCCATCCATTTGCACGGAACAAACATTCACAGAGATTTGCAGGGTCGATGGCTGTGCAAATTGTTTATAAATAGACCCCCAGTAAATGTATTACTGGTAGGATCTCCCAGTGAAAATAAAGGAAAGAAGTCAAACGAATGCAGCCACCATATCTAAAGAGTGGTAAGCTGTAATAGGTTACATTTTTGCACTTGAGTTCAGATACACTTTAATCATTCTTAAGGTCATTTGTGATCTGCACGACCACTTGGCACAATGAGGTCTGCAGATTAATGCAGTGGTGTCATAATGGGGGTGCGGCCCGCACTCGTGTGACACCATTGGAGGGGTGACACCAAAATGACTGGTGGCCAGTACAGAAGTGACCTCTTACATTGGTGGTCAGAATAGAAGTAACCTCTTACATTGATGGTAAGTACTGTATAGAAGTGGCTGCTGGCATCGGTGGTGGCCATTGTAGAGGTGCCCCATTGCGTTGATGGTCAGTGTAGGTAGGAGATCAAGTCATCATTGCTTAAGGAACCCCTAGCAACTTCAATAGGAACCCTAGAGTCCATAGAACCCTGGTGGAGCAGTCGGGTTTTTGCATGTCACATTGTGCAGCAAGTGTTCTCTTTTGATAGAAAAAGCAAATGTCATTTCAGATCTAGTCCCTGTAGAGGCGGGGTCCCCCATTAATTTACAAGAACCCTGCGTGAGCACTTATCTTCATTTCCCAGTAAATATAAAACATGGTGGCAGCCAGACGTGGCCACATTGTATGTCATTCATACGACTGCTTATAACTGATGCTTCATTTCCAGAATTGTTTCTTGTTTTCTTTTCATACTGAAGAATTGTCTGTGCTGCTCTACATTTTGAAGAATTGTTGCGGCATTCGCATTGGAAAGTTTTTGCTTTTATGAACAATATTAAAAAAAACAAAAAAATACCAAACGCCCGTGTTTCTCTTTTCTTTGCTTGATGCTGGGCTGTGTGTTGTCTGGGGGCTGAGGTAAATGTGGGGTGTACAGTGAGAGAGGTGAGGTAAATCTGGGGTGTACAGTGAGAGGGGTGAGGTAAATGTGGGCTGTAGAGTGAGAGGGGTGAGGTAAATCTGGGGTGTACAGTGAGAGAGGTGAGGTAAATCTGGGGTGTACAGCGAGAGGGGTGAGGTAAATATGGGGTGTATAGCGAGAGGGATGAGGTTAATCTGGTGTGTACAGTGAGAGGGATGAGGTAAATATGGGGTGTATAGTGAGAGGGGTGAGGTAAATCGGGTGTACAGCGAGAGGGGTGAGGTAAATGTGGGATGTATAGTGAGAGGGGTGAGGTAAGTCTGGGGTGTATGGCAAGACGGGTGCGGTAAATCTGGGGTGTACTGTCAGGTTAATCTGGGATGTACAGTGAGAGGGGCGAGGTAAATTTGGGGTGTACAGTGAGAGGGGTGAGGTAAATCTGGGGTGTACAGTGAGAGGGGTGAGGTAAATATGGGGTGTACACTGAGGGGTGAGGTAAATTTGGGGTGTACAGTGAGGGGTGAGGTAAATCTGGGGTGTACAAGGAGGGGTGAGGTAGATTTGGGGTATGTAGTGGGGAGGAAATGAGGTAAATCTGGGGTGTACAGTGAGAGGGGGGTGAGGTAAATTTGGGGTATGTAGTGGGGAAGGGGTGAGGTAAATCTGTGGTGTACAGTAGGAGGGGCGAGGTAAATTTGGGGTGTACAGTGAGAGCGGTTGAGGTAAATCTGTGGTGTACAGTGAGAGAGGCGAGGTAAATTTGGGGTGTACAGTGAGAGGGGTGAGGTAAATCTGGGGTGTACAGTGAGGTAGATTTGGGGTATGTAGTGTGGAGGGGGTGAGGTAAATCTGGAGTGTACTGTGAGGGGTGAGGTAAATTTGGGGTGTACAGTGAGAGGGGTGAGGTAAATCTGGGGTGTACAGTGAGGTAGATTTGGGGTAGGGGTGAAGTAAATCTGGGGTGTACTGTGAGGGGTGAGGTAAATTTGGGGTATGTAGTGGGTAAGGGTTGAGGTAAATGATGAGTATGTAGTGGGGAAGAGGTGAGGTAAATCTGTGGTGTACAGTGAGGGGTGAGGTAGATTTGGGGTATGTAGTGGGGAGGGGGTGAGGTAAATCTGGGGTGACAGAAGGGGTTAGTGAGGTAAACTTGGGGTATACGGTTAATTTAGGGCGTTCAGAGGAAGGGCAGGCAAGGTTTAGCAGTGAATGCGATGAGGTAAACATAAATTCCCTTCACCTCACAGCCACACACTATAATATCCTCATCCACAGTCACCTTACAACAAATTTACCCCCTGCCCCCCTCCCCAGTCTCCTATTTTCCAAAATGTACGTCTGCATTCACATTATTACAGAGTTTTCATTGTCAACAGAGAAGAAAATTAAACTTTTACTCTATGACCAAAACATGTCGGCAAGAAGGCACGGCGGCGGCCATTTTGTTGGAGACCCCGTGGCGTAGACTTTCACGATCTTGGCTCCGGTAATATGGCTCCGGCAATGAAGACACTCGTGTCAACCCTGTGGAGGAGGAAATATATAGAATGAGAACTGCTCGAAGGTGAGCTGTGGGGAATGGTCGGTGTGTATGTGGAAAATGTGTATACATTGTGACAGGTCATTGCTCTCCGGCCTTTGTGGTGGCCGAGGTGCCAGCTTCTCGGGGTGGCCTAGCAGGGACTATTAGTCCCACAGCAAATATTCCCCCTGAGGTACCAGAGCTAAGGCAGTAATAGCCTGTCATGGAAGCTGCCAGTTAATGCCAGTTGGCTTTGGAGTCATTTTCAAATGGAGGTGAGCTGTGGCTCTAGGTAAATATGTATTGTTTTTCACCGGGCAGAATCTTTCCTCATGACCTGTCAGAGGGTATGATAGTTCATTCCTATGCCCCTCAGCACCATGCAATGGGGCTAGTGCTGTGATGAAGCATTTGCAAAGCCTTCAGCAGCGTTATTAAAGCACCCTTCAGCTCCAAATATGGGAGACAACCGCAGATGTTCATGGAATTGTTGTTGGTCACTTTAAATATTAAAGTCCTGCTATGAGCGTGTGTTTCTCTTTTCACAGGTAGCGATGTTGGCGGTGCAGCTATTGTCTCGGCTTCGCGCCGTGTCCGACCAGGTTCGATTGTGCCAAGCTGTCATTTGCCAAAGCGTTCGCTTTCCATCCTCACCGACACCCCCGCTAGTGTCACAGCACCGCCCCCTGTCCGCTGACGTCCCTCTATATGCCAAGCAACAAAACCACATCAAGAGGAAGAGGGATTTCAGTGAGAAGAAGCTGGTGAGTAACTTTGCAGAATCACCATTGTTCACCATTTGCAAAAATGTTGTAAATGCACCGGCGCTGATGTGATAAAAAAAAAATGTGCATGTGCTAAACTTTTTGAGGCCCGCAGAGCATTGCAACTGGGATCAGTGCATGGCGGGTACAATACACAGGCTTCTAAATTGTGTACTCTCAGCCCCAGGTCCGTATGGACATCCTGTTGGGGGGCCAATGTCAGAATATCTTACAGGGCGAGCAGCTTATTGGCTGCTAGCTCTGTTGGGATGAGGATTTTCCAACATGCTTCCTCAATCAGGTGATGTGGGGGGGAAAGGTGCCAACATAGGCATCCATTTTTTTTTTACATTTCGGCTGTTTCATCAAGAACTGTACGACATTCAAAGCGTTCATACCCAGCTTAAGTCTCTCTGACATAAGGGACCCCAGATATCTACAATATAGACTACTGACATAAGGGACCCCAATTATCTACAATATAGACTACTGACATAAGGGACCCCAATTATCTACAATATAGACTACTGACATAAGGGACCCCAATTATCTACAATATAGACTACTGACATAAGGGACCCCAGTTATCTACAATATAGACTACTGACATAAGGGACCCCAGGTATCTACAATATAGACTACTGACATAAGGGGCCCCAATTATCTACAATATAGACTACTGACATAAGGGGCCCCAATTATCTACAATATAGACTACTGACATAAGGGGCCCAAAGTATCTACTATATAAACTACTAACATAAGGGACCCCCGAGTATTTACCATTATAAACCATTGACATAAGGGGCCCTAAGTATCTACAATATATGAACTACTGACATAAGGGACCCCAGGTATCCTCTGTGAGGCTCCTTGGAACAGAGAATGGGTCATACTTTGCAATTACATAAAATACACAATAGACCTAAAAATAATAATTTTTTCTAGCTATGCATTGTTCTCTTTTTTTAGACTCGTTACTTTGTCGATCACCGTAAAGTTAAAGTAGCGGGAGGAGCTGGTGGAGACGGGGCCTGCTGTTTTCACAGTGAGCCCAGGAAGGAGTTCGGAGGACCAGATGGAGGCGATGGAGGAAATGGAGGACATGTGATAATAAAAGGTACGGGGGTTTGCTGTCTGGTGCTTAGATGGTGGATGGCTCTATTAGTGTGTTGGCCAATAGTAGTTCTTCACCAGCTGTGAAAGTCCCAGCTTTGAAAAGAAGCTCTGCTGAACCCCATTAGACCCTTCCTCAAGGCAAAGGGCACACAGACAGCCACATTCTGTTGCCTTGGTGCACTGTGCTTATGGGCATTGTAACCTGTTGTTAGATAGGAATTGGCACTTTCTGTTTAGGGGGAATGTATAGTTCAGGGGTAGCCAAACTTTGGCCCTCCAGCTTTGGTGAAACTACATATCCTATAATACCTCTGCCTCTGGGAGTCATGCCTGTGGCTATCAGTCTTGCAATGCCTTAAGGGGCTTGTAGTTTCATAACAGCAGGAGGGCCAATGTTTGGCTATCTCTGGTATAGTGGGTTTGTATATTCTTTATTATGGTCAGAATAAAACCTATTTTTAAAATGTGTTCTTTTTTTATAGTTCATATTTAGTAAACATGAAATATAGCATATCCATGTTTAGCTTCCTGCTTTTTAGATAGCTAGCAAGCTAGATAGAAGATGGATGAATGGCTGCATATATAGATAGATAGATTGCTAGATGTTGATGTCGGTAGAAAATCCCTAGAAAATTGAGCGTAACATCCCATTTGGCTTTGTGAGTTACTAACATAGGCCTGTGAAATAGTTTCCTCAATAATGTCTCTGGATTATGTGTTTGCTTCCCAGTGGATTCCTGTGTGAAGTCTTTAGCCTCCATTGTTCCTTTATACCGCGGTATTAGCGGAAAGCCAGGGCGCAGCAAAAACTGCTACGGAAGAGGAGGAGAAAATGTTGTTATCAAGGTAAGTAACTTATAGTCAGATGCATTTATTCAGGTAATTCGGGTACTATTGCCCACGCAGGAAGAAATGGGCACCATCAGTCCCCTAAGCTGGGAGACCCTTTGATCACCCGAAACGCATTGGCTGTTTTTTTTTTAACTGTATATGTCTGCTGAATACAATTTATTCTGGACTTTCCACACCTCCTTTTTGTTGCTTTCCTCTATTAACTGTTAGAATCAAAATTAGTATGTGGCTTAAGAGTCAGAGGTCAGCACATTCTGTCCATCAATGCTTCTCACACAGGTGGCTCACTGCCTGTCACTGGAGATTGTATTGACTGAAGTTCTTCTTTGAATGGGAATGATCAGTAACAAGATGACACGTTATGTGCGTTGTTAGGTTCCCATCGGGACTCTTGTGAAGGAAGATAGCGTGGTCCTTGCGGATCTCTCCATCCCAGGCGAGGAGTTTGTAGCCGCTCACGGTGGGATTGGTGGAAAAGGAAACAGATTCTTCCTCAGCAATGAGAACCGAGCTCCAGTGTTGGCAACACCCGGGGAACCTGGGCAAGAGAGGTCACTCCACCTGGAACTGAAGACCATGGCACATGCTGGCATGGTAATGTTATACTCTAATCCTCTCCATTGTTTTGCTAATTCTCTCCCCTCCCTCTCTCTAGTAACAGGTTCACTTTACTTTAAAGAGACCCTGTCACAATATTCTACCCTGACAACATACCAGAAACTTGGAACCTGTTTTACATGTGCTTATAGAAATGCTTTATGATTGTGGGTTTAGAGATATTAGCGCTGCTATCCTGACTGAGAATCACCCCTGTCAGGTCATTTACACCCACCCCTCCTCACCTTTTATCATACTATAGTAGTAAGTTACATTACATTTATTACAAATGCATTCCTGTTTGTATAATATACAATAAAGGCCTCTTAAAACAAGAAGACTTCCCTTTTCCAGGTCGGTTTTCCTAATGCTGGAAAGTCATCTCTGTTACGCCTTCTTTCCAACGCCCGACCAGCCGTGGCGGCATACCCGTTCACCACCCTCAACCCCCATGTTGGAGTCATCAATTACCAAGATTATGAACAGATAGCAGGTAAGTCCAGGCTGGTCTCTGAAATACATATTTGACTTCCAGTGCAAAAAAAACAAATCGCATGCCTGAGTGTTTTGATCTGCTTGGATGATCTTGGCTCACCATGCTACTTGTTCAGTTACAGTTGGAGAATACTGAAGTTCTGGTCTGCTAGTCAAATGTCAACAATTTCTCTGCTTCAGCACGGATGTGTGAATTAAACCTTAAATGAGAACTATGGGGTTAAGGCTTTTCCCCATAGTTCTCCTTAGGGTAACGGGAGGAGACAAACTAGCGTCCTCCCATCACCCTAGGCTCAGTATACCGCGAGCAGTAGCTCGCGATATACTGAGACACGCCAGTATCCGGCGAGCTGCTGCTCGCGGTATACTAAGACGCCGCAGCTGAAACGGATTCCGACAATTATGTCTGGATCCGACATCCTGGTCAGGACTCTCACAAAGACACCATTGATTAAAAAGCCTACATATGAATATTTACTATTTATGCACATGGTGGGAGTGGTTGAGTAGGTTAGCAAAATAGACTGGCCAGGGCTGACACCGCTCAGTCCACAAATATGTTGTGTGTTGTCAGCTGACAACAGGATTTGGGAGCTTAATGCATTTCTGGCAGAGTAACAGTTACTATATTCTTCTGTAGTTGCAGGGTCTTAAAAGGGATAAAACATGGGAAATGTGCATGTAATGCAGAGATGTCTCACACACACGTATCTTTTTATGATTAATATGTTTACAGTGCCTCAGATTTATAGTTACTGTTATATATTGAAACATTGAAGCTTCATGCAGTACATGCTGAGATAGTATTTTGTGGCCTTTCTAGTGTTGCAATGCATCTCATTGATTGAAATAGTCACCAGTTAGATCTGGGCCTTTACATTCCAATGGTCATTTATACTATAGGTTTAGATTTGCGGCACAAAAATAATAATAATAAAAAAACACCCCAGAATCACTTATGCTAATGCAGTTAATCTATGTACGTGCTTTTTTTCCAATATCTATTATTCTTCTGCATTTGTAGTTGTGTTATATGCTTAAAAAACATTTTCTGCAAGCCTTACTTGTGTCTTGAGGTTGCTGTGTGTTGTACTGGTGGTCAGTTGTAAGCAGACATGATGTATCTATGTGATTTTAGATCACTCATGGCAAGTAATGAAATTCTGAATAAAACGTGGTTAGGCAGAGTGATGAATAAGTGACATTAATCCAACAAAATGATTTACTTTTTATTTATTTCTCATCATGAGGAGACAGAAAACATCACATTAACTGGGTCACCTTCTTATTAATTATTAAAGAGGATGCAGATTATGTTCAGTCACTGTATGTAATGGGGATTTTAGCTTCTCTTTTTTTGAGGTTACATAAGATAATTGTAACAGTAAGAGCAATTTACTAAATATAGTTTTCCTTTTCAAGAAAGTCTCCTCAGCTTGCTCCATCTGGTAGGCCTCAAGTGTGACCCCCCTTACATCACCATAGGGACCGCACATACTATTCAATAAATATAGTGTTGCAGGAAACTCTAAAAGACTGCAGGCATTGAACAGAAGACGATCATAGATTACATGCATTTTACAAGAGATGGTCAGACATAGACATGATACAGGAGATGATCAGAAAGTGCGAACATGCTACAGGAGATGGTCCTAGACCGGGGAACATGCAACAAAAGATGATCAGAGACTGGGGGCATGCTACAGGATATGGCCCTAGACCTGGGAACATGTTACAGGAGGCGGTCAGAGACTGGGGACATGCTACAGGAGACTGCCAGAGACTGGGGGCATGTATAAAGAGAGAAGGGATAGACATCACAGAGAAAGTTCAGCTATTATGAAATAAATAAAGCAAACCATTTGCCTACTAGAAGCCAGTCTAGAAAATATACTATATATACAGTATATTTATTGGCCTGAATAAGCATCAAAACACAGACTACTATCTTCAAGGGCCCCAAATGATGCACAGTAGTTGATAAAGGGCCGCAGGTTGGGTACCGGGACTCTGAGAACTAAATAGAAGCAGATTATTACCTGGCAGCTCACATATCCCTCACAATTCTGCATCCTCTGTTACATCCCCATCATGAAGTAGATGTGGTTGAAGTTTATATTTTATCTTTATGTTGAAGGAATTACTCTACCGGGTGCTTGGGGTTCCTTTTTATATAGAAACAGACTGGTAGGTTACTCAGCTTCCACCTATATTAGTTGTACTGTGTGCATGCCTGGGTATGACTGTGGTAGGGACAGTAGACTGTAAGCTCCTGCGGGGCCATAAACTGTTGGTTCCAAAGCATCACAGAAGAGGTGAGCACACTATATGATTAAAATGAAATACATTGTAACCACTTCTCTCTTGTTGGCCTCTCAGTGGCGGACATCCCCGGGATCATAGAAGGAGCTCACCAGAACCGGGGTTTGGGCCTGTCCTTCCTTCGGCACATTGAGAGGTGCCGCATTCTTCTCTACGTGTTGGACTTGGCGCACCCTGAGCCATGGACCCAAATGCGCTCCCTGCAGTACGAGCTGAGCCAGTTTGATGAAAACCTCACCCAGCGACCTCACATCATCGTGGCCAATAAAATAGACCTCCCCGATGCCAGGAAGACGCTAGCCAGTCTACAGCGGGAAGTGGACGGTACAATCATTGCCGTGTCCGCTCTGACCGGGGAGAACGCCGAAGAACTGATCCTCTATATCCGAGAGTTGTACGATGGACAAAGAACTGGGACAAAGAAACCTGAGACGTATTCTGGCTGGTAGTAGAATGACAACCAGTGACAGCTGCCAGAAAGGAAAGCATTTCAATGACTCGGACAATGACAACATTTTTCTTTTTAAGATATGTTCTTCCTAAAAACAATGGCTGTATACAATTACATAAAGACTGCCTGATACTAAGTGTGGAATGTCTACTCCAGGGGTAGACAAGCTCTCCGGCCCTCTAGCTGTGTGGAAACTACAAATCCAAGCATGCTTCTGCCTCTAGGAATCATACCTGTGGCTGTCAGTCTTGCAATGCCTCATGGGATTTGTAGTTCCAGAGCAGCTGAACCACCGGAGTTTGCTTACCCCTAGTCTACTCCATTGAGTCCTTTCTGCAGTACGTAAAAGTACCAGTAGCTGGCAGCGTGTGCTTGGTAATATGCAATATGTAACATAAAATTGCATTTTTAAAGGGAGATGATACTGAAATAGATTTACTATTGACAATTTCTTATTATAATTGTTTTAAAAACGTACAGTCTATTTTTTTTTTTTTTTACATTCTGTTTATTTTCTTTTCCATTTGGCTGTATTGTTAAATATGAACAATGCAGTTTAGTAAACGTAATGCTGAGAAAAATAAATGGAAGTAATTACCGTACCTTGATATTTCAGCCATAAAGGTTTCAGTGTATTTATGAAGTGTCATGGTCATGGAAGTCCTGTGCGCCTCCTTTGTTTTCCGCTTGTTGTCATGGCGCCTCTAATAGGTTAGTCCGTAATAGAGTTCAATATGACAAATTGTTATTCAGAACCTTAAACTTCACATAATGCGGTTCTCTTCAGTTCTGAACTCGCAAAACCTTTTCCAAAAAACAAATCCTTTCGTTGATATAACAGATTCAATGGTTGTACAATAAAGAAATTCAATAGATTATATAATTCAGTGGTTGATATTTATTTTGGAATGCCTCATTGCAGGGTCTCCGGTGTCATGGCATGCATGGGGTTAACCTCTCTCCCCGCTACATTATACTGAGTTAATTAACTCTCCCGGACAGCCCGTTGTCTCAATTGAGACTGATGAATTAATCCTGAGCCGTCTCTTGCCTCCCACGACATTTGTACCAAACAGTTAAATGGCACAAATTGTATTTGTCAGCACTGGTATTAAGCTGATTTCGAGAAACATTCATCATAATTAAGAGCCAGAGGGTCAAATGGAAGGAGAAAAGCCGGTGTGATGGGGCCCCGTCTGGAACTTGACCCGCTGGCCTCTCCTGTTTGCAAGTAGCAGACAGCTCCCTGTCTCCAGGTGTGCAGTATTGCAAACAGTACGCCTTCAGCCTGATATTCCACATACAGAATCAATCATTTATACTACAATATTGGGATTTAAAGGGCCAACCTCACACACACTAGAGTTTCCTGTCCCAGGGATCCTTTGTTATACCCTGATATTCAGGTTGGCACTGGGACAGAAAGTGAAGCTACATCTAACCTATGAGGCCATAACCTATGAGGCCACAGACGGCAATAAACCTGACCAGAGGATCTGACCTTTCTACTAAGATGACAAGTAGAGTGGGATAAAAAAAAATCTCCCTAACCGAGACACAGACAGTTGTTCCATGCCTTGTACACCCTAAAACAATTGGCAAAAGTTGATAAAGTCACAGTGTCAGTGTAAAGCCGCCCCCTCCGACCACTGATTCTCACCTCTCCTCAGCAATTCCCCACCACTCTATCCTCCGTTACAGCCAGTACAAATTTCCCGGAACTTCTGTTTAGGGTGGATCATGTGACCTCCTCCCTTAATGCTAACACTTGGGGCTAGCAGCCAATCCCTAGGCCCAAGCGCCATCACATGATGGAAGGAACAATGTCACTGCTCCCTCTAGGCTCCAATACCAGCTGCCACTGTTTTTTTTAATGGTGGCTACAACTGACCAAGGTGTGACTTGGGCCATTGCATAGAGGCTTTAACAAAGATGCAGTATACCTGTCATGAGAGAGTTATGAAGTCTTCCATCGCTGACCTTTCTTTTTGAGAATGCATGGCGCTCAGTGCTGAATGTCCTTCAGCTGTTTGTAACATGTGAGCCCTGTTCCTGAACTTCTGCTTGACCTTTGTTACTGAGCTGGCTTCTCTTTGGCCTGCCCTTGGATTACTTTTGTCTGCCAATGGTTGCTGGTTACCGACATCACCCTGGACCTCTGACCAAGATTCTGCTTGCTGACTTTGTACCTCGCTGACCGCATGTTGCTGACCTTTGCCTGTTACCGACCTTGATTCTGCTTACAATTTGGTGCTTTTGATGCTCATCTAAAGAACAAGAAGTTGCGCTAGGAGGAAACACTATGTGTAAATAATGACCAGCTGCAGCAATGTGCAATCAGAACCACAGTGAAGTCTATAATATGATGCGCTTGGTATGTGAAATAAAGAAATGGGTGAATAAATTGTCTGTGTCACCTCAAAAACAACTGTGTATCATATATTAATATGTGACCATGAGCTATTGTATATATTCTCTTACATTGTTAATTAATGAATGAATTGAATTGATACAGTGATTCCTTCTATAATTAATGATTTCCGAAAAGCCTGTGTGAGCTCTTACTGTGCAAATCCTCTCTTGTGTCAATAAAGGCTATTAACAAAAAAACAAAAAGACGTGACAGAGTGTTGTTTCCCCCAATCCTTAGGAGGAGGAAAATAATTGTTTTTTTTTTCTTTCCTGTGTCCCTTTCTTTACTAGTGTTTAGAACAGTTATAGTGTAAACTTGTGATGAAATCTTCTGTCCCGCTTATAAGCTTGTGAGTATAAAGGATATGGCAAACCAAAAACAATATGACAAACCAATATAAAACGATCATCTAAACAATATAGCAAACAATATAAAAAGGTCAAGTGGAGACACCAAATGGGAGGGGGCTTTCCTCTTAAACCATTCAGCTGTTAAATCCTTTGGTCTACCTGCCCAAAATCTCCAAGGGACGTTGGTCTCAGAATATAATCTTACATCTGGGGTATAATTCCAATCAATGAGCAGAAATCAGCAAGTCCTTTTATATATCCTGACACCGTTGGTATATCCTCTCATGAGTGGAGCTTAATGTCGGAGAAAGTCAGTTGACCAGTGCTGAATGGCCTTCAGCTATGTCAGTAACATGTGATCCCTGTTCCTGAACTTCTGCTTGACCTTTGTTACTGACCTGGCTTCTCTTTGGCCTGCCCTTGGATTACTTTTGTCTGCCAATGGTAAAGAATTACCAGCTGTATTCCTGCTCCAGAGTTCCAGTCACCAGTTCCTGCACCTAGGCACTCATGGCCTTCCATCGCCCTTGCTGGCCCTGTCTTAGTTTCCAGGGTTGCTCGGACAGGAATCGTTCAAGAAGCCACCCTCGTAATCTCGGGCTCCTCATAGAAGTACATGACAGATTTGTTCCACCCGAAGCAGTCTCTATCAAACATAAAACCCAAAGTATTTTTGGTAAATTGCATTGCTCTATTACATTTATTTTCTTCCTGCTGTAGCTGTAATAAGAAATTGTATTTTGATGATATTTCTCCTTTTAAGGAGGTTTATCTGGTGAGCTATTCAGCTTTCTCACGATGGTGCATTTTGATCATCGGGTGAGAGAAGGAAAAATGTATGAGAAGCTGATTGACTTTTCTGATCCTCACGCTGGATGTTATTGAAGATAGAATCCCGGGAAATTGTTGGAATCCTTGAATCATATTGTGTACTAGACAAAAGGACTCTATGCAGCGATGTTAACTCTTTGGGGACCCAAGTCATAACGCTGTAGAGATTTCAATTCTGTATGACTGACATATGAAAGCGGTTCCAAAGGTAAGATTTCTTGTTGGCTATGACAACTGATCTGTCTTTTTCCCATCACTCCTACAGCCCAGTTTACTGATGAATCAAGCTGATTTCTAAGATCAAGAAAAGCCTATATAGCACTTATTAGGAACAACTGAACATTTGTCATTTAGGCCAAAGTGCTACTATGGCAAAGTACTTCCTATGGCAATCTAAACAGGTCCTAAAACCAGTTACTCTGTAATGCACATAGTTTTTCCTTTACCTTCCCTGACTGAGCCAAGTCCTGAGGAACGTGTGTCTCACATGCCCTCCCAGACACTGACAGGATCAACAAGTATTTGTGAGACTTTACAGGGATTAGAGGAAACTGTAAGTGCAGATGGACTTGTAATACTAAGTGCTGCAGCACATATGCTTTTAATGGGAGGCCTACACGGCAGTTCTACAAGTGTTGATTGCCCACTTTTATCTTGATAGGAACAACAATCTGTAAACCAATCTCCCCTCTTCTGAGACCTCTCAGCTGTAATCTAAGGGCACTTATAGGCAAGGCTAGATGTGCCCATGGGTACAATAGGGTTGTATGAGTCAAAGAGGCAGCTATTTCTAAGCTTATTTACATGTCGCAGCATTCTAAGCCAGGTCAGGAGCAGTAAAACAAGAAAATGCTGTGTGCAAAGGAGGTGAACGTTGGATTGAGTGTCAAAGGATGTGCCCTACAAGCTGTTGTGACGCAGACTCTTCCTAAATACTTTCCATCTGTGTAGGCTAAAATCAATAAGATCAAGCAAAAGTCATCTAATACTCTATAGTAGAGGTGTCTAGCTGCAGTCCTTGAAGGCCAATACATCTCTAACACTTAGCAATGAAGGTTTGGTTCATTAAATTAAATGACGCTGTCCTAAGCTCCTGAGGCTTGAAGATCAGTATTGGGCATCCCTGGTGTGGAAGCAATTGACCTTCCGTATCTGACACGGCGCCATCGGTGTCGTTACTTCAAGCACCAACCTTTCAACAAGGTCTGTACGCTGTATGGAGTGCAGATGATTTCGTATTATCGAAGTAATTGACCTGACACAGAACAAGCATGTGTATACATTCAAGTAACTGTCTCAATAAGTAGTGAATCCAGGGTGACGATTGTTGGTGGGGTTTTTCTTTGGAATCAGTGGACAAGACAGCGCAAATGCACTCTATCGGAGCTGCCTGCGTTCTAGCAACAATGGGAGTTTGGAGGCAGGAGTC